GTGCCATTCTTTTATATAAAACAAAGAAGACTGATAGGGAATACACAAAATAAATGAGTCTTTATTTGCAGTTATTAGAAAGCCATACTTTTCCTTCTGATTTTCAGTAGATCTGTCATGTAAGACATGAAATAAATATTTAGTCTGTCACTCTATTAAAAAGCCAACTCAGCCAATTGTACATAAGATCAGTGTATTGCTCATATACTATGTATACCTGCTGCCTGACTGATCATTTAATTGTCTGGTTGCTGTATATTTGATTGTCAGTTACTAAGTGTTTGCCAGGCCAACCAATCTGTGTTTGCTTGTAACATATTATGGCATCTGTACATAGGCATCAGAAGAAGGCACTTTGCTCACGTGTGGGAATTAACTTTTCTATCTGGTTCAGACCTATCCACTGTAGAGATCTCAGAAGGCTTTTAATAGTTGCAGTCTTGGTGAACAAAATATTTTTATCTATCTATCTATCTATCTATCTATCTATCTATCTATCTATCTATCTATCTATCTATCTATCTATCTATATAACTACTGCTGATGGTGTAAAGTAAGAATTTACTGTAGCAATAAATCAATGAATCCAATCAATAAAATCTCATAAATCTTTAATGCAGTTGTAGAGAAGTTAAGTTCTATCTTTTTAAATCTACAGCTTTCCTTAAAATAATACCTGGTAACCCGGCCATGAAGGTCCTTTATCTGGCACTTCATGTTATGGAGTACCAATGCTTTGACCCTGTCTTCCAACTGCTTCCACTAATCCCACTGTTAAATGCATTGGGACTATTGGTGGCTATGCTGTGTGAAAAAAACTCACCCAGGCAATGACTTGCAACTGCTGCTGTGAACCAAAAATGACAGATACCGCTCAAGACTCCAATGGGTCCTCTTCTATAGCAAACCGCTGGGAGTGCAGGCAAGGACAGAGTTCATCCCTGCTCCACATGTCAAAGAGAAAGAAAAAAATCCTATAAGCCGTACATCACTGCAAGACTCTGTACGTAGGTGTATGACAGCCTCAGCCAGCAAGGCCACACCTCTCAACCTGTTTCGCTCTTCCCCATGACTAAGCCTTGGGGGTGGAGCGAAACATATTATAGGTGTGGACTTGGCTGGAGCCCGGGCTGAGGCTGTAATACACCTATTTACAGGGTTTTGCAGTGATGTGCTGTTTATAGGATTTTTTTTTTCTTTCTGCTGGGATCACGTGCATATAGACAGGGAGTGGCTGATAAAAGGCTGCAGGAAATAAGCAGCACTGAGTTGTAAATCAGGATAAAAAACACACAAACAGTATTTTCAAAGAAAAAATAAAAAGATAAAAAAATGACAGTTGTTTATGATATAGTACATTAGCAAATCTACTGTCATCCAGGTGAAGTTTACTTCTGTTTTAATAGAGAAACAATTTTATATTCTGATTAGATATTTGAAGTGATCAGATAGTTTTACTTTAAACCGATTTATTCATTTCAGCAAATAAGCCTCAAAATGGGCCCTTTAGAGGTCTCAGTAACATTAAAAGTGGGCACATCTTTGATTAAATATGAATAAATATGGCGTGGAGTTTGAACGAACAGGATGAGGGCATAACTGCTTGAGTTTTTGTGGTTTATTTACACACATTTGAGTAGAGGCTCATGATAGAGCTGTACAAATCAAGGTTCACCTTAATTGGACCAACAGAGAGCTAAAGTCAAATATATTATCTTTACTCTCTTTCTAATTTTAATATATTTTGAATGCACATTTTTGTGCGGAGCACTGATGTTTATAAGTAGAGATGAGCGAAGAAATGAAAAATTCGATTCGGCTGATTCGGCGAATTCCAGTGTGAAATTCGATTCGATGCGAATTTCTCCGCTACGAAGATGACTTATTTAAAGGGTTTCTAGGCTTCAGAGAGCCTTTAAATTAGTGCAGAACACTGTACCTTTAATTTAAATGCCCTTGGAGATGAGGAAGGAGAAGGAGAAGGAGAAGGATGAGAAGAAGGAGAAGGAGAAGGATGAGAAGAAGGAGAAGGAGAAGGGTGAGAAGAAGGAGAAGGATGAGAAGAAGGAGAAGGATGAGAAGAAGGAGAAGGAGAAGGATGAGAAGAAGGAGAAGGAGAAGGATGAGAAGAAGGAGAAGGAGAAGGATGAGAAGAAGGAGAAGGATGAGAAGAAGGAGAAGGATGAGAAGAAGGAGAATGATGAGAAGAAGGAGAAGGATGATAAGAAGAAGGCTGAGAATAAGGAGAAGGATGAGAAGAAGGAGAAGGAGAAGGATGAGAAGAAGGAGAAGGATGAGAAGAAGGAGAAGGAGAAGGATGAGAAGAAAGAGAAGGATGAGAAGGAGAAGGATGAGAAGAAGAAGGATGAGAAGAAGAAGGATGAGAAGAAGGAAAAGGATGAGAAGAAGAAGGATGAGAAGAAGGAGAAGGATGAGAAGAAGGAGAATGATGATGAGAAGAAGGAGAAGGATGATAAGAAGGACAAGGAAAGAGAAGAAGGAGAAGGAGAAGGAAAGAGAAGAAGGAGAAGGATGAGAAGAAGGAGAAGGATGAGAAGAAGGAGAAGGAGGAGAAGAAGAAGAAGGAAGGATGAGAAGAAGGAGAGAAGGAGAAGGATGAGAAGAAGGAGAAGGATGAGAAGAAGAAGGATGAGAAGAAGGATGAGAAGAAGAAGGAGGAGAAGGATGAGAAGAAGAAGGATGAGAAGAAGGAGAAGGATGAGAAGAAGGAGAAGGAAGAGAAGAAGGAGAAGGAGAAGGATGAGAAGGAGAAGGATGAGAAGAAGGAGAAGGATGAGAAGAAGGAGAAGGAGAAGGATGAGAAGAAGGAGAAGGATGAGAAGAAGAAGGATGAGAAGAAGGATGAGAAGGATGAGAAGAAGGAGAAGGATGAGAAGAAGGAGAATGATGAGAAGAAGGAGAAGAAGGAGAAGGATGAGAAGAAGGAGAAGGATGAGAAGAAGGAGAAGGATGAGAAGAAGGAGAAGGATGAGAAGAAGGAGAAGGAGAAGGATGAGAAGAAAAAGGATGAGGAGAAGGAGAAGGATGAGAAGAAGGAGAAGGAGAAGGATGAGAAGAAGGAGAAGATGAGAAGAAGGAGAAAGATGAGAAGAAGGAGAAGGAGAAGGATGAGAAGAAGGAGAAGGAGAAGGATGAGAAGAAGGAGAAGGAGAAGGATGAGAAGAAGGAGAAGGATGAGAAGAAGGAGAAGGATGAGAAGGAGAAGAAGGAGAGAAAGAAGGATGAGAAAGAAGAAGGCTGAGAATAAGGAGAAGGATGAGAAGAAGGAGAAGGATGAGAAGAAGGAGAAGGATGAGAAGAAGGAGAAGGAGAAGGATGAGAAGAAAGAGAAGATGAGAAGGAGAAGGATGAGAAGAAGAAGGATGAGAAGAAGAAGGATGAGAAGAAGGAAAAGGATGAGAAGAAGAAGGATGAGAAGAAGAAGAAGGATGAGAAGAAGGAGAAAGATGAGAAGAAGGAGAAGGATGATAAGAAGGAGAAGGAAGAGAAGAAGGAGAAGGAGAAGGATGAGAAGAAGGAAGGAGGATGAGAAGAAGGAGAAGGATGAGAAGAAGGAGAAGGATGAGAAGAAGGAGAAGGATGAGAAGAAGGAGAAGGAGAAGGATGAGAAGAAAAAGGATGAGGAGAAGGAGAAGGATGAGAAGAAGGAGAAGGAGAAGGATGAGAAGAAGGAGAAGGATGAGAAGAAGGAGAAGGATGAGAAGAAGGAGAAGGAGAAGGATGAGAAGAAGGAGAAGGAGAAGGATGAGAAGAAGGAGAAGGAGAAGGATGAGAAGAAGGAGAAAGATGAGAAGAAGGAGAAGGATGAGAAGGAGAAGGATGAGAAGGAGAAGGATGAGAAGAAGAAGGATGAGAATAGAGGAGAAGGATGAGAAGAAGGAGAAGGAGAAGGATGAGAAGAAGGAGAAGGATGAGAAAGAAGGAGAAGGAGAAGGATGAGAAGAAAGAGAAGGATGAAGAAGGAGAAGGATGAGAAGAAGAAGGATGAGAAGAAGAAGGATGAGAAGAAGGAAAAGGATGAGAAGAAGAAGGATGAGAAGAAAGGAGAAGGATGAGAAGAAGGAGAGAAGAAGGATGAGAAGAAGGAGAAGGATGATAAGAAGGAGAAGGAAGAGAAGAAGGAGAAGGAGAAGGATGAGAAGAAGGAGAAGGATGAGAAGAAGGAGAAGGATGAGAAGAAGGAGAAGGATGAGAAGAAGAAGAAAAGGATGAGAAGAAGGAGAAGGAGAAGGATGAGAAGAAGGAGAAGGATGAGAAGAAATTGAAGAAGGATGAGAAGAAGGATGAGAAGAAGGAGGAGAAGGATGAGAAGAAGAAGGATGAGAAGAAGGAGAAGGATGAGAAGAAGGAGAAGGAAGAGAAGAAGGAGAAGGAGAAGGATTGAGAAGGAGAAGGATGAGAAGAAGGAGAAGGATGAGAAGAAGGAGAAGGATGAGAAGAAGGAGAAGGAGAAGAAGGAGAAGGAGAAGGAAGAAGAAGGAGAAGGATGAGAAGAAGAAGGATGAGAAGAAGGATGAGAAGGATGAGAAGAAGGAGAAGGATGAAGAAGAAGGAGAAGATGATGAGAAGAAGGAGAAGAAGGAGAAGGATGAGAAAGAATCTCCCCTAGGATGAGAAGAAGGAGAAGGATGAGAAGAAGGAGAAGGATGAGAAGAAGGAGAAGGAGAAGGATGAGAAGAAAAAAGGATGAGGAGAGAAGGAGAAGGATGAGAAGAAGGAGAAGGATGAGAAGGAGAAGGAGAAGGATGAGAAGAAGGAGAAGGAGAAGGATGAGAAGAAGGAGAAGGATGAGAAGAAGGAGAAGGATGGAGAAGGAGAAGGAGAAGGATGAGAAGGAGAAGGATGAGAAGAAGGAGAAGGAGAAGGATGAGAAGAAGGAAGAAGGAGAAGGATGAGAAGAAGGAGAAGGATGAGAAGAAGGATGAGCAAAGGAGAAGGATGAAGAAGAAGGAGAAGGATGAGAAGAAGGAGAAGGATGAGAAGATGAGGATGAGAAGAAGGATGAGAAGAAGGAGAAGGATGAAAGAAGGAAAGTTCATGACAGTTTCTGTCTATTTCTGACAGTTCTGGGACATTCACTCCATACAGCGGTTTCAACCGCTGTATGGAGGGAATGTCATGGAACTGTCAGAAATAGACTATTAATGACAGTTCTGGGACTGTCCTTCCATGCAGCGGTTTGAAACATTGTATGTATTTGTTTCCATAAATGGATCCATTTATGGAAACAAATACATACAATGTTTCAACCGCTGCATGGAAGGACAGTCCCAGAACTGTCATTAATAGTCTATTTCTGACAGTTCCATGACATTCCCTCCATACAGCGGTTAAAACAGCTGTATGCAGTGAATGTCCCAGAACTGTCATAAATAGTCTATTTCTGATAGATCTGGGACATTCACTCCATACAGCTGTTTTAACCGCTGTATGGAGGGAATGTCATGGAACTGTCAGAAATAGACTATTAATGACAGTTCTGGGACTGTCCTTCCATGCAGCGGTTGAAACATTGTATGTATTTGTGTTTCCATAAATGGATCCATTTATGGAAACAAATACATACAATGTTTCAACCGCTGCATGGAAGGACAGTCCCAGAACTGTCATTAATAGTCTATTTCTGACAGTTCCATGACATTCCCTCCATACAGCGGTTAAAACAGCTGTATGCAGTGAATGTCCCAGAACTGTCATAAATAGTCTATTTCTGATAGATCTGGGACATTCACTCCATACAGCTGTTTTAAAAAACCGCTGTATGGAGGGAATGTCATGGAACTGTCAGAAATAGACTATTAATGACAGTTCTGGGACTGTCCTTCCATACAGCGGTTGAAACATTGTATGTATTTGTTTCCATAAATGGATCCATTTATGGAAACAAATACATACAATGTTTCAACCGCTGCATTGAAGGACAGTCCCAGAACTGTCATTAATAGTCTATTTCTGACAGTTCCATGACTTTCTGATAGATCTGGGACATTCACTCCATACAGCTGTTTTAACCGCTGTATGGAGGGAATGTCATGGAACTGTCAGAAATAGACTATTAATGACAGTTTGTGGGACTGTCCTTCCATACAGCGGTTGAAACATTGTATGTATTTGTTTCCATAAATGGATCCATTTATGGAAACAAATACATACAATGTTTCAACCGCTGCATTGAAGGACAGTCCCAGAACTGTCATTAATAGTCTATTTCTGACAGTTCCATGACATTCCCTCCATACAGCGGTTAAAACAGCTGTATGCAGTGAATGTCCCAGAACTGTCATAAATAGTCTATTTCTGACAGTTCTGGGACATTCACTCCATACAGCGGTTTCCGGCAAAAAGTGTATGTGCAGAGTTCCTCTATTCTGCAGATACACTTAGAGGAGCTCTGCAGATACACTTAGAGGAGCTCTGCACATACACTTTTTTCCGGTTTGGAATTATTCTTATTTTCATCCTACTTCTTCTTCTTCTTCTTCATCCTCATCCTCATCCTCTTCTTCTTCTGAGGATGAGGATGAAGAAGAAGAAGAAGAAGAAGAAGAAGTAGGATGAAAATAAGATTAATTCCAAGCCGGCAAAAAGCCGGCTTGGAAAATATCTGTATCCTAAATGGAAACTAATAGATACAAATTGTATCTATTAGTTTCCATTTAGGATACAGATGTTTCAACCGCTGTACATGTGAAGAAGCTGTGAGAGAACTGTCAGAAATAGAGGAACTCTGCACATACACTTTTTGCCGGCTTGGAATTATTCTTCTTTTCATCCTACTTTCTTCTTCTTCTTCTTCTTCTTCTTCTTCTTCTTCATCCTCATCCTCATCCTCTTCTTCTGAGGATGAAGAAGAAGAAGAAGTAGGATGAAAAGAAGAATAATTCCAAGCCGGCAAAAGTGTATGTGCAGAGTTCCTCTATTTCTGACAGTTCTCTCACAACTTCTTCACATGTACAGTGGTTGAAACATCTGTATCCTAAATGTAAACTAATAGATACAATGTTTCAACCGCTAAACATGTGTTCCTTCTGTCAGAGAACTGTCAGAAATAGCGGAGCTCACTGCAGGGACACTTTTGCCGGCTGATCGGGAAATGTTCGATTCGCGCACCCGAAGTAGGCAAAATTTCGGTTTCGACACGAATCGAATATTTCCTGAAATTCGACTCGAATTCCGGTTCGCCTAGTTCGATTCGCTCATCTCTATTTATAAGTTAAAGTGCTGTATGCAATTCTGCTTCATGATTAAAACCTAACACTGTTCTGTAGACATGCTTAGATTTTTCATGGAACTGAACCTCACCTCAGTGTATCTTGTGGCTTTCGCCTTTTGTGAAATAAAAACTGATCATAACAGCTTTTTAAACTTGTTAATTCAAACCATATGTCAGCGAACCAGGCTCCATATGGTGTGACACCACCTCTTATTCATACAGTGCTGATTTCCTAAACATTCTTCTGAAGGCTATATTTGCTCTTTGCTTAAAATGCGGGATACTCCTCTTTCAACAGTGTCAACAATCTGGCACTTGTGCTGGTGCAGGAAAACGACACTGATTACCAGGAAACAACTATAGCCTTTTTTGCTGCACTGGATGTGCAAATCTAGCAGAGAAAATTGTCAGAATACCTTTCAGTCATGGTTGTATCTACAGCTCTGAGGTGCAAATAGGAATTCTTTGGCTCAGGAAACAGAACCTAGAAAAAAAGTCTGAGATTAATATGGTTATATTACATTAATGTTTGTTGTGGTAATTTGTGCAAATGATCAAGCACAAAAGGATACATAAAATGTTGATCTATGATAACTATAACAAACTTGAATTTGATACGAATGTGTAATATATTAGGGGCCATCTGAATCAAAATTGCAGTAAATGTCATTTTTTTAATGTGAATTTTTTTTTGTCATGCATAATAAACATACAAAGTTGGAATAAACATATCAGCATGGAAATAAAGACTTGCCATGTGTCATTCACGTTTAGTTATGTTATTGTACAATGTATACATTAAACGTATAACAAATAGGATGATACAAAATATGTAATTGAAATGATCATGTTGCTTTGCTTATATGGATAAACAATGAAGACATTGTAATTAGAGTATCACAGTAGTATTCAAAGAAATAGAGAAAGGATTCTGTCTCCCTCAGTTTACCCAGGTGTATATCTATTGTAAAACGTGCAAAGACTGTAGTTGCAAAATCTAAGAGGTCCTCATTCTTGGTGCATGGTTATAGTGTAATTGAAATTGATCAAGAAGACATTTATTAAAAGACTACACAATTTTAGAGCAGACAAGCCATATAAACCTCATAACCCGACCAATCACAGTGTTTGACAATCATACGTTGAAGCATGCAGACACTAAGTATTAAGGTGACACAGTGGTAAACAAACATACATAAGTCACCTTCGCAACACTATATCGATAGGGGAAAGACATGGGTTATTCAACCATCCCTCCCGTACCTTCTCAAATTTGGCATGGCAACCCTATGTGGGTTAAGTGAAATTGAGTTGGGTGTGGGTAGTCATTTAACAAGAATACTTCTAGAATCTGTGAATCAACAGTACCATTTTTACAGAATGCTTCCCATTGATCACTAATGGATGTAAAAAGGATATCATATGGAAGCCTGTTCATTAAGCAGGCAAACACGATTGCTGATAGTAGGGCTACCTGCATGGCCACATTCACTTTAACAAGAAGGGGAATGAGTAGGAAAGACATGAAAGAGTTTTTGGGGAGTTTAGTATCATCCATGCATATGTTTTATCAGTGATTCCCAATTTGAGAGTTTCTAAACCCAGTAGTAAATCTCCTTCCATTAAAAGTAGTCATGAAAAGAATATTCCTATTGGGTTTTTACCTGTTGGTTATTGAGTTGCTGAGGAAGTATGTACATGAGCATAGAAGAAAAGGATAAAAGATAGCACAATGCTGTTAAGACTGATTTTGGGGTAAGTGACCTGGCAAGAGGCCTTGTAGATAAAAAAAAAATCTAACTTGAAGTTATTTGTAGAAATCATATTTTGGTAGGTAACACTTGCTCTGTAGGTCAGAAAACATTTTAAGGATGGCATAAGTTTCTTTATCATATCTATACCAGATTGGATCTAATTGTGTAAGTTAAAATCTTGAACAAATAGTTGCAAATCTTTCAGGTAAAATGATTTTTAGTCTATTTTTTGTGTGTGATCTATAAGGTAGGGAAGTGAAAAAAAGAGAAACAGCTAACACTAACATGCTCTGAAATGAGTCACTCTTTGCAGAAAATACCAGAGTAACCAGGTTTCATGTGTGGGTCTTCATACTGCAAAAGTATACCTAATAATAAATTTGTAAGATGAAAATTTCGGACAGTATAAAACGTATTAGCGGTATACCTGTTTTTCGGTATCTTTTTGATAAATAAAATCTGATTTTATTTCAGAAACTTGCTAGAATGCTGGCCTACTGGATTTTATTTTAAGTTGTTGCATTGAGAAGTGCTAAGCTATGTATTTGGTTGGGAAATGAGACATTTAATATGTTTGTAGCTGTTGCATGATACATGAAATGGCAGGATTAGCCGAGATGGCCCATTGCTGATTTAATAAAGGCATCGTTACTCGAAAAGTTGTGTGCATATTAACTTTAATTATGCTATCATGTGAAAAGCAATTTCCTTTTCACTTTGAATACCCATTCATGTGCAGATGCTTTTCACATGATTGGATAATTGAAGTGAATATATTCTCAACTCCTTTAGTAAAACAGTCCTAAAGTCGCTGCAGTAAATCCAATTCTCTTCCTACAATTTTTTTATTGCTTCTTCACATATCATGATGTACCACTCCTGAACCTTTCTTGGATATGAACATCTCATATCCCAGGAGGTGGCAGCTTCCACACTGTGGCTGGTGTAGGAAGGACCTAGTGGCATGTCATCAGGGAGCCAGCTGCAGGAACCAACAGGAGAAAGCTGGCTCTCAATAGCTTGAAACATATCGATGGCCAGAGTATAAAATCATAAAATCTTTTTGCATTCTGAACAATTTTTTACAAGTAAAAGATTGAATGATTAAACTTATGACCAGCTATGTAGTTAAGTAATGTAGTACAGACTGATATGCGTATGGTGCTGTCCCTCCCTCTCCTAGTCTTCGCCCTGCAGGATATTACAGGTTGCTGATATTTCAATGGTGTTACCAGCTGTTTGGTAAAATACATTAATAACTTCATGAGTGAATAACATGGATGCTTTTCATATCTAACAGAGATCAGCTTTAAGAAATAATCTATTCATTCACAGTACATTCCTTTTGGAGTCACATTTAAATGGATGTACCTTTGCTACATTTCCAGCAATTTTTACTGTCACCTTCTGAAGATATGTATATGTCTATTAGCTGCCTTCCACATACATATATACAAACATTTTCAGGTATTCAGTGGAGGCATGTCTGCATGGAATATAAATACCTCTTTACACTGCACATTTAAAATCAAGCATGCATGGAGTATAGGCATCAGATTAATTGAATAAGTGGGATTGAAGATGATTTGTGGTACAAAAATATAATAATGTGACCTCTGGCCAAAGTTTTGAAGG